AAAGTCAAAAGGTGAAATTTTGGACAATATATAATACTGAAATTTATGCAATTGTTTTGATATAACATTTTGTCAAGCTTACCAAACTAAAACAACTTTCTGGTGACAAATTGTTGTTCATTATTACGACAAGAAGTGTAAAATATACAGAAATGCCTTTGAAAAAAGCTTTAAGAAGATCTGTTAATTTCTAATCACAATCTCAGCTATGTGGGCTACTCGTATGAAAACTGTCACAAAAGTAATTACCGAGGAAAATTAACTTTGGTTTAACAGTCCTCTGAAAAATAGAAGTAATGGTTCAAACAAGCAAATCAACCATTTAGTTATACCTCTACCAATTTACTTTTTAATCAAGTCCCTGATTTTATTTCTAGATTAATGACATTAATGTTGACTTTTTATAATGAAGCACATGTATTAAAGAATCCCCATTAGAATAGAGTTTATTGATTAAAAGTAATGAATAAAACTTTACTGCACACTTTGGAAGCTATAAAACTATCTTTATAATGTTACCCAAAATGTTTGCTAAACAAAAAGATAGTCATTAATGGGAAAAGATTATAAAAGCTTTCCATTGGGAGTCTATGTAATCCAGATATCCTTTCCATTACAGCAACTTTTATCTCTAGAGAAACATTTTGGAAATTGTTTGACTATTTATTCGAAGAATTGATTTTCCTTCTGAAATACACTGCCATAACTAAGGCAGTGAAAATTGGTCATAGACATTGTAGAGTTAAGATAATGCTTGAACAAACATAAAATTGTGATATCACTGTCATTCCTTAAGAGCGAGATGTTGTATTTTTTTATTTTCCAACTAAATATTTGCATTTTGAGCTTATCTTTTGTCTCTGATGAGACTTATTTGTTTTATCGTTGACATTTTGATGAGACTTTAGATTGAACATCCCTGATAAATGATTCCCAGATAGTATGTGGTATTAGAATATCTGTACGACAGAAGATTGTCAGCCTATTCATGCAAACAATAACGGCACTTCATTTTACCAACACAAATAGTCAACTGATATCACTGACATCAAGCTTAATTGGAATGAGAAAAATAAGCATTCCATTTGCTCTTTTTGCTAAAACAGGCGTAAAATGCTAAAACCCATTTAAATGAACAAAAGGATTCAATTTTCTGCTTTTCTTTAGTATTGCATAAAAGTCAATTAAACTGTCAAGGGTTACATGACGTCAGAATAAAGGATTTATTTAAATCTGGTAAATTTATGGCATCAAAAAGACACTTTTGACATGCATAAATTAAAGTGAAGGTTTTATGTAAATGTTAGAACTCAAAACTTAGAATTACACCTCTTTTATTTATTTCTTGGTAAACTGTTTCCAATTTTGAATTTTTTATGTAGTATAACCAATCCTCATAACACACCAAGATTGGAGTTATATTTTAAAGTGAAGCAATTCTTAAGCTTTGCTTATTTTTGTCGAAAAAGCGAGACATAGCGATCCTACATTCCGTCGGCATCGTCGTCCACAAATATTCACTCTGTGGTTAAAGTTTTTGAAATTTTAATAACTTTCTTAAACTATCCTGGATTTCTACCAAACTTGGACAGAAGCTTGTTTATGATCATAATATAGTATCCAGAAGTAAATTTTGTAAAAAAAAATTCCTGTTTTTCCGTATTTTACTTATAAATGGACTTAGTTTTCTGCCAGGAAACATTACATTCACTCTGTGGTTAAAGTTTTTAAAATTTTAATAACTTTTTCAAACTATCCTGGATTTCTACCAAACTTGGACAGAAGCTTGGTTATGATCATAAGATAGTATCCAGAAGTAAATTTAAAAAAAAAAAATTCCTGTTTTTCCGTATTTTACTTATAAATGGACTTAGTTTTTCTGCCAGGAAACATTGCATTCACTCTGTGGTTAAAGTTTTTAAAATTTTAATAACTTTCTTAAACTATCCTGGATTTGTACCAAACATGGACAGAAGTTTGTTTATGATCAAAAGCTAGTATCTAGAAGGAAATTTTTATTAAAATTTTGTACTTGTTTATCCATATTTTACTTATAAATGGACTTAGTTTTTCTTCCAGTTAACATTACATCCAGTCTGCAGTAAAAATTTTTAAAACATTTATTAGATTCATAAACTATCCTGGATTTTTACCAAACTTGGACAGAAGCTTCTTACAATAAAAAAATTGTATCGAAAGGAATATTTTTATTAAATTTTTTCCTCATCTCATTTTTGTTGAGCCTGCGATTAACAGCAAAAGTAGGTGAGACACTGGGTTCCTCGGAACTCTTACGAATTTTTTATTTATGGAAGTTGTAGTTACTATGTAATTAATGCCACATGACACACTATGGATTCAGGCATACTGTTTTGTTATAAATTAGGCCGTTAGTTTTCTCAATTGAACTGTTTCATATTTTTCATGTCGGGGCCTTTTATAACCGACCATATGGTATGGGTTATTCTCATTGTTGAAGGCCGTACGGTTGCCTATAATTGCTTACTATGCATCCACTTCATTTGAACTTTGGTGGTTAGTTGTCTCATTGGCAATCATACCACACGTCCTTATTTTTATACTAATTTTGTTGATTTTGTTAGGAATAGTTGAACAAAAGATTTCAGAGTTTAAAAAAATACAATTTTTATGGCATTTTCTGCAGAATTTCTTAAAATCAGGGATTTCCATGAATATACAATTTTACCATAATCCCCAAAAATGAGGATCCAAGAAAATATATTAATTTACAGTATATACTTCAATCATGCTCCATATTGGTAACAGAAACATCATCACTTAAGGCCATAAAAAAGAATATGTTTGTTTGCCCTAATCCTACCTACCCAGAAAATATCTGCCTACTCAAAATCTTTTATTGTCCTGATGTAAAAAAGTTTTTTTTTAATCAGATACGCATGAAGACTAAAAAACATCTGACACTTCAATTTCTCTTTGCCGAAAAAAAAAGAAAATGCCTACCTACCTACCCACTGTCTCTACCTTTAGGTAGGGTTTGGGCAAACCAAAATATTTTTAAGTGTGGCCTAATGTGTGATCATTCATCACAATTTGTGTAGAATGATTATAAATAATATACCCCATATAATTATAAATTATAATCTGTATTGTCAACTTAAATGAAATATAAACAAGAATGTGTCCATAGTACATGGATGCCCCACTCGCACTATCTTTTTCTATGTTCAGTGGACCAATAAATTGGGGTCAAAACTCTAATTTGGCAATAAAATTAGAAAGATCATATCATAGGGAACATGTGTACTAAGTTTCAAGTTGATTGGACCTCAACTTCATCAAAAACTACCTTGACCAAAAACTTTAACCTGAAGCGGGACAGACAGACGAACGGACGGACGGACGGACGGACGGACGGACGGACGGCGGAACGAACAGACTGAAAAACATAATGCCCCTCTACTATCGTAGGTGGGGCATAAAAATATAACATTGACTTCATGATCCTCAAAGATGAAATCATAATCTTATAAAACTTTATAAAATATTCATATCATTTAACTGTTTTATTTTTGCCCCTAGGTATAGTTTGTTTTTAGATTCTTTTTCAAGGTCAGGTAGTCTTTTATGAATTAATTTTACCAAAGTTGAATTAAAATCTCTCCAAAACTTTTACCATTCAAGATATTTATATTTGCTGGTTTATGCTTTAAAAACACTGAAATCTAATAATTGTGTAAAACTACTTGTTCAATATTTTCCATATATCAATTTCTCAAAGAACTTTTCATTAACGTAAGTGATTGAAATAAGGGCTTTACCAGGAACAAATGTATGAGGGATTTGGCCGACCTTTTTGTCGAGCCTTCGACTTTAGTCGAAAAAGCGAGACATAGCGATCCTACATTCCGTCGGCGTCGTCGTCGGCGGCGTCCACAAATATTCACTCTGTGGTTAAAGTTTTTGAAATTTTAATAACTTTCTTAAACTATCATGGATTTCTACCAAACTTGGAGAGAAGCTTGTTTATGATCATAAGATAGTATCCTGAAGTAAATTTTGTAAAAATAAAATTCCATTTTTTCCGTATTTTACTTATAAATGGACTTAGTTTTTCTGCCGGGAAATATTACATTCACTCTGTGGTTAAAGTTTTTAAAATTTTAATAACTTTCTTAAACTATCCTGGATTTCTACCAAACTTGGACAGAAGCTTGTTTATGATCATAAGATAGTATCCAGAAGTAAATTTTGTAAAAAAAAAAATCCATTTTTTCCTTATTTTACTTTTAAATGGACTTAGATTTTCTGCCAGGAAACAACACATTCACTCTGTGGTTAAAGTTTTTAAAATTTTAATAACTTTCTTATACTATTTGGGATTTGTACCAAACTTGGACAGAAGCTTGTTTATGATCAAAAGCTAGTATCTAAAAGGAAATTTTGTAAAAAAATAAATCCATTTTTTCCGTATTTTACTTTTAAATGGACTTAGATTTTCTGCCAGGAAACAACTCATTCACTCTGTGGTTAAAGTTTTTAAAATTTTAATAACTTTCTTATACTATTTTGGATTTGTACCAAACTTGGACTGAAGCTTGTTTATGATCAAATGCTAGTATCTAGAAAGAAATTTTGTTTTCTTCCAGTTAACATTACATTCAGTCTGCAGTTAAAGTTTTTAAACATTTATTAGATTCATAAACTATCCTGGATTTTTACCAAAGTTGGACAGAAGCTTCTTACAATCAAAAGATAGTATCAAGAGGAATATTTTTATTGATTTACTTCCTCATTTTTGTTGAGCCTGCGATTAACAGAAAAAGTAGGCGAGACACTGGGTTCCGCGGAACCCTTACAAATTTTTTTTATACCTCACCGCCCATAATTTTTATTTTCATTTGCTTTCACCCCTATTAACCACATAAAAAAATATCATGTGGTGCATAACCCTCTAATACATTTTTTCCTGGAATAGCCCTAAGCATTAAATTTTAAATCATAATGGAAATATTCCTTACACATATTTTGTCCCACAGTCCATTCCAGTTATCCAAACCCATGCTTTATCCCAATTAGAACATTTTGCTGGTATCTTTCTGACCATGGTAACTTTCTTGTGCCTTCCAGTACCTTCTTCCACCCTGTAAATTTAATATTATACATATCTATAGGAGACAGTGACACTTTTGAAAAGAAAATTCTTATTAAAAATGGAACTTTCAATGTAGTCTTCTTGATTAACCACAAGCCTACAGCCTAGGCCAGTAATAATGTTGCCAAGTGAAAATGTTTTAGAAACATCCTGGTTCAATCCCCAGAAGACTTGAAAATAGGTATTTGCTGCTTTTCCATTTAGGAGTAAGAGCAAAGACTAGTTGGCCTGGAGTTGGAATAATATGTCTAGGTAGGGTGACATGTCTTCCTGCAGATTTTACTTTGTGAACTAGCTTTTTTAAAATCTGGCTCAGCATGTTGGTCTAGTACAAAGCAGATTTCATATTCATATCACATTAATATGTTCCTGTCCTGAATATGCATTTAATTTTCCACTATACTTTAAATAGCAATCCATCATCATCATTGATCAAAATTAGGAGACAATACTGGAAGAATGCATCAAATGATCTGTATATTTCCAAATAATTGATCTGACATCACCAAATACACTTTTATTGGACTTAGTAAAAATGAAAAAAGAATATCATTTAAATCAGGTACAATCACAAATAAACAAACAAAATTGAAATTATTTGAGTAATTGTTCTCTTTTTAGTTTAAGATTCAGGTATTTATTCTCTTTAACTTTAGATTTTCAGACTAAAAAGCAAGTTTGCAATTTAATTAATAACTCACATAATCATATTCAGTAAAATTCAACCATATCTGATATCAAACTTAAATAAAAATTAAACAAGAATCTGACCAAAATTATACAAATCAATAAATAAAATGTATTGGTAATTTTCCTAATATTTAATTAAAACCTTTGAATCTGAAAACACCTAAAATTGAAATGCATCCTGAATGTATAATTAAAAAAGATGTTACAAATTATTCAAAGTATCTAGATTATAAAATTATGATTAATTGATATTCTAAAATGCATTAATTGGACTTCATGGAAGATATTATTCAGATTTTAATTTGTGGTCCAAGGAGAGTAAGGAATTTTATTTATCATGTAAAGTTATTTCCCACAGGAAAACTTAATTAAATCAAGTCGGAAAAATTCAACCTTCACCAAAGCATGTAATGATGCCTGTGCATGCTTTCTCTTTCAAAGTTTGACATTCAAATTGTTTAAACAGTGACAGATATTAACCATGATTCCAAAGCTTTTAAAACATTCTGTACAAATCAATATAACAGACTAAATATCCTATTTCAATACTTTTATTATACTAAGATTAATTTGAAGAGGGTTTATTGAAACTTGATTACCATAAAAAACATCTCAATTTTCCAAACACTAATGAATCCTTCCAATAACACCTGGTTACAGGTAGCAAAAATCTTTTAATCCTCAGAAATTAATAACAGAATACAGAAATCTCTGGAGTTCTCCATTATTGAAAGATGTAAATACCAATTCCTCAATTTCCCTGCTTGACTATGGTTTTAATTAACATTGGATTACTAATGTTCATTTCTGTAAAAGGATAAATTTCCAGAACAGAAATTTCCTGTGAACTGACTGCAATCTTATTAGGGTTTATGTAATACTGATTAAACTGAAATTAATGGGTGGTATCACTGATGCAGTTATTGCTACCTGAGTATCTATATGTGAACATTTTCCTGAAATTTTGTGTCTATCTTTTAATGTACAATTTGTGTCTATAAAAATAAGAAGATGTGGTACTATTGCCAATGAGACAACTCTCCACAAGAGACTAAATGACACAGAAATTAACAAGTATAGGTCATGGTACGGTATTAACAATGAGCAACGCCCATACTGCATAGTCAGCTATAAAAGGCAACGAAAAGACAAATGTAAAACAAAATTCAAAATAGAAAACTAACGGCCTAATTTATGTACAAAATAATGAACGAAAAAGAAATAAGTTACACAGCAACAAACGACAACCACTGAATTACAGGCTCCTGACTTGGGACAGGCACATACAGAATGTTGCGGGGTTAAACAAGTTATAGGTGCCAACCTTCCCTTAACCTGGGACAGTGGTGTAACTACAACATAAGAACACACGATAAAAATCAGTTGAAAAAGGTTTAACTCATCAGACGGATACAAATAGAAATACATCTAACAAAAACACAGAGTGGACGTGGCAGGGTACTATTAGTATTACATCCCCACAACAAAAAGACACTAAAGACAGTTCTGAGAGTACTCACAGTTACAACTTACTGACAGCTAGTTCAAAGCCAATAACAACTAATAGAAAAAATTATGCATCTAAGGGAGCTACCATTTGATTTTTATGGGGGGCTAGGATGAAATTTGAAAAAAATAGGTAGGACAGGGGTTTTGAGTAAAAAAAAAGGCAGGATGAGATTATTTGCAAGAAAAAAGGCAGGATGACAATTTATGTAAAAAAAAAGTCAGGATAAACTAAAAAAAAAAGGCAGGACCGAATAGAGTGAAAAATAAAAAGGCAGGACAGAATAGAGGGAAAAATAAATAGGCAGGACAACATTTTTCATCCTAGCCCCCCCATAAAAATCAAATGGTAGCTCCCTAAGACTAAAATATCAATCAGTACACATCCAACATCCAATGGATTTAGTGTAAAGACGTCTTTAACAGTCAGAGAAAAACATGACCTTGTGCAATGGCAAGATATAGGTATCAACAGATTGTAGAGCCATGAATGTGAATAAGTATATAAAAATAATATTTAGTTTGATTTTAATTTACTGATAACAAAATCAGTATTAATACCATTAAAAACAATATTCAAAGATCTAATTACACTGTTGAATTGGAAACTTTTTAGAACAAGTTTAATTAAAGGATTGATAAGTTTACCCGGATCATTTCTAAATTTCTGGGTCTTTAAACAACATCTCCTAGTATGTATTCAAGTAAATTTTGTGTCTGGTATGTATTTTAGTACATTTTGTGTCTATTTGTTCAAATATATTTCTTGTCCTCAGAGGTACCGAAATAATAATATGCCAGACCGCCTGACAATTTTGGTTCTATCAGACCAATTGACGGACGAAGTGTTAGACAATTTTTTTTCAATTTTTCTATGTGATCTGCATATCTGCCATGTAAATTATATTTCGGTATTTAAGGTAAAAATTTTTCATTTGCCAAATTTTGAACTTCTGAGAAGACGGTCTCCTTCTTTTTTATGAATATATATATATACATTATATTAATGTCCAATTTGTGTCGTTCTATAAATGTATACTTCACATCTGCCTAGATTTACATATTGACTTTGCTCCCATCTTCTTGAAAATAGTCTCTTTATCAAATGTTATATATGTACATTTTCAAGAAATCTGTAAAGAGCAGTAATGCTGTTGAAAACTTTTTGAATTGTGTAACCATTGTCGTTAATAAATGTTTTATTTCACATTTCTTTTGAACATTTGAATTAAAAGTATAACAAAACAGCAATAATTCAATCGCATTTTTCAATAAACTATACTTACAAGACTTTTTGTGTACAGCTTTGAGCATAAATAACATGTACAATGCATCCTATAATCAAGAATTTGTAAACTGCCATCCTCCACACCATTCTTCATATATTATCACCTGAAACAGATAGAAGGATTGGTAATGCTGTTATGGTCTATCTCAGTATCTGATTCAAAACTTAAGTGGAACCTTGTTTTTATGTTTGTTGTTAAAGATTCATTTGGGGGAAACAAGGCACTTTCTTCATTGGAGATGCCTACAACACAGGCACTATTCTCTGAAAAAAATTACCTATATACCTTAATACAAGAAGTGTTGTATTGAGGTATATATGTAATTTTCTGGAATGTAACCTTCAGCAGGAAAGCTCTAAACTAAAACTTTATAAGCCTGGGATTTATAAAAACTCTAGGAGCTATATGATCAAAAGGGACCTAAATAGAACAGCCGATACCATGAAAGGTCAACTTTGCCTGAGCTTGGGGGAGTTGAACTTCTAAAAAAGTAGACCAATTTAGAGTTCCTTTTTATCAATGACCATGCTTTATTTGTTTATTTCAAAATGTAACCTCTTTTGAATTTCATTTACAGGATAAATTGAAGTGTAAAATTGAAAACTGCAGTTATCTGGTAGACTCCGTCCTTTATATGCAAATATGTTTCTTCCCCTGTCCGTCTGCTGTGTTGGTATGTCGTCTGCATGAAAAAATAACTAATGATTGTAGGAGAATATGGTCATTAATGATACCTCCACTTTTTAGCTAACATTCATTGCTAAACACTTGTGTATCCTGATGAAAATAGTCTCATATTTCTGGCTTGTTGCATGAATAGAAATTATAGGCCGAACATTCAGTAAACTTGATTTGCATCTTCGTAGCAACATACGTACCTCATTTAACAAGATTTATTGAAAGGGGAAGTAATTATGTTGGGTGGGTGTGTTCGTTTGTCAGTTTACAAAGCTTAGGATAAAAGAAAAAGGACTTGAGATATTTGGAAGCTTGTTGCTAGAACGCTGAGGAAATATGTTCGTTTCATAGATTTCATCTCAAATATCAAAAGCAACAGATTTATTTCAAAAACATAGCCTCTTTTAAATTTCAATGGCGGGATGACTCAAAAAGACTATAACAATCGGACGAGTGGTAGAACAATTTATAAAAAAAATGTCAATATGGATATTTTAGTAATTTTTATTTATGTTGATGAATTATAGGAGACACAATACTTATCAGTGGTACAAAGGAAACTATACGCGATCATATAGTACTACATTTGTCAGTTTTACGATTCATGAAAGCAATGTCACTGCGATAGGTATCTGTGACATGTTATTTAATCATTTCTAATATCCTAACCCCCACGATCACCTTATTTTTCTTTGTGTGATCTAATTATTTCCAAAATTTCTGAGAGAACTTCGTACTCTTAGCTGAAAACAGAAATCAAAGCGACTTTATCAATGGTCTATTAAGTAATTACAATGATACGTATCTGCACAGTGGTGTCTCTAATAAATTCGAGTTCACTTCAGATCAAAAAGAAGATATTCTAATGTCATACGTGTTAAAAGTAATTCATTTCCCGTTATTGCATTATTTCTAAAAACTAAATCAATTTCATTTGCTTCAAGCACTGAAGCGATTATTCATTAAAAAAAGATGTAATTATTTTTATCAATGTTTTATTAGCTGCAGGAAATCATAAGTTCCAAATGTTTTAGAGAAAAAGGTATTGACAGAATTACAGAGGCGATAGAACCTGTCACCGTGCCATGTGGTTATGTCATAGAACACTTCTGCTAAATATCCTAAAATTCAATAAAATTCAATAGGAATTTGTTCAATTTCTATAAAAATAAAATCTTATTCGTTCCCCGCCATCGATTTTCAACAAAAACTATAGGTAGAATATTTTAAACGTCTGAGTACATAGATATGCTATATTGGAGCTGAGTGAAAGAATAATGAATTATTAATCTGTACTTGCATGTGCACAACATTATTTTTTTTTTGTAATTTGGGACGAAGATGAGGAAGATAAGCATTATCTGTAAAAAGGATCACACGATTTGTTTTATTATTCATGTTATAGAACATCAGCGTCGGTGCATTATCATTAAAGTAATTTAATTCAAAGTTTTGAAGTTATGATATATCAAACCTATATTATAAAATTATTAATTGATAGATGGTTGTTTTCTTAACATTTAATTGCTAGTATCTCATGCATATTCAGGACGAGAATAAATTCAATAAATCTTAAAATAGATAGGCTCTGCAAAGTTGGTCGACCGGGCATTGAGGACTGGAAATTTTGACAACCACACTAAAATGAGAGCATGTTGAATAGTGGGAAAATGTAAGTTGCAACTGGCCATTTATGCCCAATGAGTTTTTGACACCTTTCCCACAAAAGGCAACGGTTTTAACCTGTTAACGTCAAAATTCAGACCGGTCGTGGCTGTGTATTTATACATCCCATAGATTAAAGGCAGCCCCTTATTATGGAGTCATAGCTCTCATAGGCTGATACAAATTTGTATACCTTTGGATACCCTCGGGTGGATGGGTGATTGAGAATTGAAATGGAGACTGAAAACCTCTTCGTTTATTATATTATCTTTAATGTACAGGTTTTGTTTTTGTTTTAGTTTCCTTTGATTCTTGTAAGTGTTGTTTAAAAATAGCCACCCATTATATCCGTGTTTAAAAAAAAAAGAAGCGTTATTTAGTGTACCAACCTCAACTTCACCTCACCCCAAACACAACCCCTAAAAATAAATAAAAACAAACAATAAAAAAACAACAACATACTAACACACACGCACACATAAATACACAATAACAGAAATATAACACAAGCAATAGTATTATGATGGTATGTTTTTTTATTATTATTCAGTAATTCATTAAAATCATTGGTTTGTACTATTATTCAAGTGATGATTTAAGACATAAAATATGATTTGAAATTATAGGATTGCTTATTTAAAGAATCAATATTAAAACCAGATAGTTAATCTCTAAATTTCGGGTACTAAGTGACCATCGGTCTTGGAAGTTGAAATGGATTATGAGACGAAAGGCTGCGTACATGTATAAAACTGGGTGACAAATACCGCTTTTTATCCCCCGCCATAGGCAATGGGGGCATTTCGTGTTACCCTTGACCGTCCTTCCGTCAGTCAGTCCGTATTTTCGTCCGTCCCATTTTCGTTTCCGCACTCTAACTTAAGTTTCCTCATCCAAATTTTATGAAATTCATATACAATGCTGAGAACCAAAACTCGCAGACCTAGTTCGAATTTGGGCAGCGAGTCATTAAAGTTCTAAAGTTATGCCCCTTTATAACTTAGAAAATTGCTTTTTTTTATTAGCTCACCTGACCCGAAGGGTCAAGTGAGCTTTTCTCATCACTTGGCGTCCGTCGTCCGTCGTCCGTCGGCGTCGTCGTCGTCGTCGTCGTCGTCGTCGTCGTCGTCGTCGTCCGTCGTCGTTAGCTTTTTACAAAAATCTTCTATGAAACCACTGGACAAAATTTAACCAAACTTGGTCACAATCATCATTAGGGTATCTAGTTTAAAAAATGTGTCCGATGACCCCGCCAACCAACCAAGATGGCCGCCATGGCTAAAAATAGAACATAGGGGTAAAATGTAGATTTTGGCTTATATCTCTGAAACCAAAGCATTTAGAGTAAATCTGACATGGGTAAAACTGATTATCAGGTCAAGATCTATCTGCCCTGAAATTTTCAGACAAATCTGACAACCTGTTGTTGGGTTGCTGCCCCTGAATTGGTAATTTTAAGGAAATTTTGCAGTTTTTGGTTATTATCTTGAATATTATTATAGATAGAGATAAACTGTAAACAGCAATAATGTTCAGCAAAGTAAGATCTACAAATAAGTTGTCATGACCAAAATTGTCAGTCGACCCCTTTAGGAGTTATTGCCCTTTATAGTCAATTTTTAACAATTTTTCGTAAATTTTTGTAATCTTTTACAAAAATCTTCTTCTCTGAAACTACTGAGACAAATTTAACCATACTTGGCCATAATCATTATTAGGGTATCTAGTTTAAAAAATTTGTCCGACGACCCCGCCTTCCAACCATCATGGCCAACTTAGTTAAAAATAGAACATAGGGGTAAAATGCAGTTTTTGGTTTATATCTCTGAAACTAAAGCATTTAGAGCAAATCTGAAAGGTGGCAAAAATGTTCATCAGATTTAGATTTATCTGCCCTGAAATTTTAAGACGAATCCGACAACCCGTTGAATTAGTAATTTTACAAAAATTTTGCAGTTTTTTGTTATTATCTTAGATATCATTATAATATCTAATATCTAATACTATTAATTATGATTTTAACCTTATTTTACATGATTTCCAAAGCATCAGTAAATACAGGTGAGCGACACAGGCTCTTGAGAGCCTCTAGTTTGTAACCCAAGGATGTTATAAGAACCGAAACAGTTGGAGAGCTATATGACCAAAAGGACATAAAAATGATAGCCAAATCCATCTATAAGGTCAACTTTGCCTAATGGAGTTGAAACATTAGTTTCTTAATAATTTCTAAATGTATAAAAGGACGATTTAAGAAAGGTTTGTTATAAATCGTGTCAGTACCAAAGTACTGATTACTGAGCTGATGATACCCTCGGGACTTATAGTCCATCAGCAGCGGTATCGACCAAGTGCTGTAAAAAATAAAAACAACACTTCATAAATTTCATGCTAAACGACGTGTATCAATAAAAAACCGCAGGCTCTGGACCTTTTTTTAATATTTGCAAAACAGCCTGATTGGCATTACTTCTTCCATATACTATCCACATTCAAAATGTTGAACAGTCTTGCAGAAACTGGTACATTTAACAAAGGTACAGCTGGTCAAGTAAAAAAAAATCCATATATCTGGATATTCTTTCTCAATTGAGCTCTCTCTCTCTCTTTCTCTCTCTCTCTCTCTCTCTCTCTCTCTCTCTCTCTCTCTCTCTCTCTCTCTCTCTCTCTCTCTCTCTCTCTCTCTCGAAATTCTTGAGAAGAGGCCATTTCTTATAAATTCTTGATTAGATAAGAAATATTAAAGACTGTAATTAAATT